AAATTAAAAATGCTCTAAAATAAAATAAATTCCCATTGCTGGTATCATTATTCCCTCAAATTGACGCTGCACCCAGATGCGGCGTCTATTTGGGGGTGGCGTCTATTAATGTTTTGAGCTTTAAGTGCAGCGTCTATTTGAGGGTGGTGTCTATTTGAGTAAATATGATATCCTTTGTAAATTGTATGTGAACCTTACCTTATTATCTTCCCATGTATTTTTAATTTGCAGACATTCATCACAAAATCTAGCGATGCAACSACTCACTTTGAGACAGCTTGCGATGACATCAAAGATGTCTACCAGCGATGTACGGGTAAAGAATTTGACTTTAGTAAAGTCAAGACAGAAGAAAACAATGAATAAAACTAAAAAAAAAATCATCTAAAACAAAAAGGTTTTTATCAGGCTTTGTCAATACTAGAATTACAAGCAAATACAATGTACCATTTAATGAATGTGTCAACACCAAAATAGGAATCAAATTAAATTTCTATCCTTAGCGTACAGCATTGTCCAAACTCTTTGAGTAAATTTGCAGAAATAATGACTGGAATAAATATGTTTTGTAATGGGATTTCTTTGTTTTTAAACAGTGATTTTCAAATGACTGAAAGGTAATGATAATAGTGGATAGTATACTTCAGACTCCTTGTTWGATTTTGTTCTTTCTACATGTAGTTTAGCTCAAATTATGTAGTCTTTTATTCTCAAGTGAGTTTAACCAAATTGTTTATGAAAAACTGCAAAATGTAAGAGCAAAGAATATAATGGCAGAACAAGACGTCCGTCTAAACAGTACTAAACTTGGTTGTTCAGATGGTCATTTTCATTTGACAGAAAAAGAGTAGTGAGACTAATGTWTTCTTTTGTTCTTTACCAACCAATAGAGTGAAAACACTTAAATCTTTCAGCTGTACAAAATCTAAGTAGTACTAATTTTTACTAAAAGTGGACCTGAAGCAAGACGGTATTGAATGCTTCATTTGTATCAATTCAATTTAATTTCTGTACCACATGCAGGACTATTTTCTAAATACAGCTAAATAGCAATATTTTGTATGTACAGTTGCATGGTTTAAGTGTTATCACTCTACTAATTAAACAGTCTTCTTAATTGTACGGTCAAATGAAAAAGACTGCAATAAAGTACTTTAAAAAAACAATTCTAACTACCTGTAATAGTTTGCTTAGTTTTTCATGAGAAAATGAACATCACTATTTTCTCTCTTGAATTGACCTGAATTTCGGACAGTTCTGTAATTCCTTCTATGTTTATTTTCATACTTTGCTTCTATAAATTGTAGCAAATAACAGGGACCGCGGAGTGTGAATTTGTTTGGGGGGGCTAGCGGCAAGGAGGTATTAGGGGGGTTCGGAAATTTTTTGAATCTTCATTTCCTGCGTTTTGAGTCGATTTTTACCGCACACACGGTCAGCGATTATCAATAAATCACAAAGACTTCCCAAAACAGCTTCAATTTTAATTGTTCACGCTCAGTTTTTACACAATTTTTATAGAATATATATGGTGAAATTTCATAAGGAGGCTCTTCGCTTCTTTATTTAAGAAAATTCAAAATGTTGGAAAAATTATTGGGGGGGGGCTGTAGCCTCCCAGTCCCCCCTGCTCCGCAGTCCATGAATAAATAAAAATATCAGTAAACATCAGATTATTGAAGGAAAAATACTTTGTATATTTTCCAGTAATTTTTGCATTCTTTTTTTTGTGTGCTCCAGTTATAACTACTTTCAAAATATTGTGAATTAAAAAACTCAATATAAAAGAGGTGCAGTAACTTTTATATATATTTATTAATTACACTTAGTGTCATAACTCATAAGTTTTCATATTGTAAAATAACATCATTCCCAGTGTGGAACTAGAAGGTTGTTTTGCTTGTGAAACTAGAAGGCCATGGAAACGAGGCTTTCGYGTGAAATAATAAGCCTTAGAAATTCTTTTCAACCATTTTTCAATTTTTGAAATTATAGCCAACTTTAAGCGATAAGTGATATGAAGAAAAGTGTTCATTAGGAAAGCCAATGAGATGACGGACTTTAATATCTAGAAGGCCATGGAAACAAGGCTTGTGTATGAAATAACCCTTAGAAATTCTTTTCAACCATTTTTCAATTTTTGAAATTATAGCAAGCTTTAAGCGATAAGTGATCTGAAGAAAAGTGTTCATTAGGAAAGCCAATGAGATGACGGACTTTAGCTATGGGCACCATATCAAGGACTGCTGTTGGCTGGAGGGTATTGGACGAATGCCACAGGTAATCCAAGGCCCAGCTTTCTTCTATGGTTTCAAAATTTGTGTATTCTGGTTCTTTGCCCTAAAATAATGTTTTAAAAATAAATTGAAATTTGCTTTTTAAAGCAAAGTTAAAATATTTTAAGGTTTACAACTTTTTTCTCGTTTTCTATTTGGTTCTGYAGTTTTTCGTAATGCAATCAAGTTGTTTAACTAAATAGATAGATGTCATGTCTAAAATCAAATACTTTTAAGGCGTCCTTTAAAACTACAATATAAAGTCTTACCAAAACTACTTTGTAGGTGCTCTCTGATGTTAACAAAGAATTTTTAAAGAAAGGCTTGAACTTGGACAGCACTCTTGATTCATTTTCAGAAATCTAGGGACAAAAACAATAATTTTTTACCAAATAAGTACTATCAACTTCATTGTCAAGTGTCAAGAAGTTTTCTCTTAGTGACAAAAASGCCTTAAAGTCAGACMATGAAAATCCTTGCAGAAGTGTCAGTTTTCAACARATGGTAGGGGAAAGCAGAGGAAGAGAGATTCAAGAGGTTCCAGCACCTTACTATGCTTAACAATACAAAGTCTTTGAAACATATGAGATATTTCAATAATAGAGTGCAAGTCACATAAGCATGAAACAATTCTTAACTATGTAGTGCTAAATAAGATTTAGTTATCAACTAACTAAGAATTGAGAACAATGCTACAAAGGAATTTAAATAATTGGCATTGTGTTTATGCTTTGTTGAATTCTTAGTTAGTTGATAACTAAATCTTATTTAGCAATACATATTAAGAATTGTTTCATGCTTATGTGACGTGCACTCTAGTACAGCGATTTCATTAGGAGTTAGTCTCCTTGGCAGCCTACCCTTCGGTCGGGCTTACTGTCCCTCCCAAAAGAATATAGCAACTTGCMAAATCCGACTTTTGTTTTGACCTTTGGGTAGGCAATACATTTCCCAAATTTTGGTTCGAAAGCTATTGACCACTTATGATTTACATACAGTTATTTTTTCAGAGCAGCTGCCAACTTTCACATGTACAATAAAACCCTTGATAGTATCCTTGAAATTGTCTATTTAGGAAACATACCTTTCCAATGTATTCACTGGGGTCTGGCCAATCCGATAAATCACTGGTAAAWCGAACATAGTCGTTCTTTTCCAATTGTTTATAATCCTCGTCCGACAGTGTCTTTGCTGACAGTACTTTGTATGCAGGAAAATTAGGCTCAATATTAAAGTCTCCACACAATATATATGACACTRTGTGACCATCATTGACTTTGACAAGTGTGTCTACAAAGTCCTTTAAAATCTTGCTAGCCAAGCAACACTCTAATAGTTGCCGTATAGTATAGCCATACCAATCAAACTTTAAATGAACATTTCCTAGGGAGACAAGATTAAATACTTAGTGTTTAGAAGCAAGCGGATGTTAGGATTGAACTATAAATGCATAAAAAAAAACTAAAATCCAGGCAGAATTAATTTGTAAACTTGAATTTTTTTATCATGCAAAAAATCATGTCTGCAGTCATTTTGGCTTAGTCTTCTGCTGCTGTTCAACCCCCCCCCCCTCCTCCCTTTGAGCCTCCACCCCCTTTTGAGCTCCACCTTCCCCATAAAAAAAAATCACAACCCACTGTTGCAGCCCACAAGACCAGACCTTACCTATTGCCAAGAGTCTCCCACTATCTTTGTGCCTTAATGCCATGAGTAATACATAGGTCGGAATGCGTAAGTGTTCAAGCAGGCYGTCTTCTCCACATTCTTTACATAATTGTTGGATAACGTCAAAATTTTGAACAATTTTATGATCCACAACCTCAAACATTGCAGTCTTATAGAAGGAGGCAAGACCTTGTTCATATTTATCTGATCTGGCAATGAAGAAACCCTTGTATCCTGYCTCTAGAAGCGTTGGGGCTAGAATATTGTGGTAGTACTTTGCATCAACCTCTTGAAGGCATACAATGTCAGCATTCAGCCATGCAAGCTGCAATGGTATCATAGCACTAGAAAACTGTTCMCTAGCTGTGTTTACATAGTCTCCCAAGGGGTTWTAAAATAGGGCGGGGTCTCCTGGGGGGTTTATAGGGTTAGGAAATTCGTCGGAAATTCTGAAAATGACCCCTAAAATGACCCCTGATGATGCTGATTTACTGATTTATAAATCTTTAACTTATCGTTGCTATTATAATAAGCTATTAACCTCTGCAATAAGTAATTTGTGACGGTGGTCCTCGCTTGACTCTCGTTTCTTGAACGGCTCGGCACAGTACTTATAACCAGTGCTTGGGAGAAAGATACTTCCAGCTAGAGTATTGTATGTCRCWACTGAAAAGTTCTTTTGGGGAGTGGGTTTTTCGATTTCAATGAGAGATCGTTGGGAAAATATGGGGAGACTTTGTTTATCGGCGGCCATTTTGTGAACTCGTAGTCTCCTCGCCACAGGTAGCCCAARCTCTACTGTGAAGGCAAAAAATTGAAAATATTTTGAATGTTTTTCTTGTGATTTATGTTCCTGGTGTGAATTTTTTTGAGGTTTTATCTTTTTATAAAATCCACACCAGGAACATAAAACACAAGAAGAACACATATGTGAGTTCAAATACTTTCATTCAAAATATTTTCAATTTTTTGCTTTCATAGTAGAGCTTGGGCTACCTGTGTCCTCGCAAGAGACTAATGAACTCGTTACTTAGCCAGTTTTCGGTCGAACAAAAGAGCCTGGGAATTCTTATTAGATTCAAAGTAAGAAATTGTCACATTCCTAGGCTCACGGGTATTTCGTGGTGCGCGGTTCGAGACCTAGATGAGGGTGAAATTTTTTTAATTGGAGGGAAAAAATATTTTTCATTAATGAAGGAGAAAAAATATTTTTTAAGACTTTTCAAGTCTTTCTCTTTTTTCTTCTTTCTTTTCTAATAAGCATAAACATTTTTATGAATAACGATTGCTTTTTAAGGCCACATAACTGAACGTGGGGGGGGGGGGGGGGGGGGAATTTGATAAAAATATATAAATGGACTGCGCACGAACGTTAATTGGAAACTGAAAAATCAACTCAGTGACAGATTCTGTGCGTTTTGGCCAAATACTTATTGAAGTGGAAAACTTCTCAAGAAAAGCGTTCCACGATTTGCGACAATTCTTTATTTACGAACAATAAATAAATCAATTCACGATGGTGAATAATTATTTCGGGAGTAGTAATTTTTTTTTTTTTGATTTTTGGCTCATTTCTAAAACCGCCCCTCCCCCTCCCCCCTGATGTATATTGCACAGTCCCTAAGCTACAATAGCACTTCAAGTTGCTTTCCATTTAGGTAGAACTGGCCGGCCAGACCGCTCTATTTAGAGGTATATTATGCTTTTTGTCAACATTTTTCAGTCATTTCGAGGTTTTCCATAGAATAATGGATAGAATTCGAAAATTTGAATTTCCCAACTAAATTAGAATGATATATAATGACATTTTCTCTGGGTCTGGCCAGCCAGTTCTGACAAATCGCGCGATATTTTGTTTTGCTCCTGAAAAAAATATGACGACGAGGCTCCGGGGAGGCCGATTGTATCGGTTCAATTTTTCCAGAGCCTCATCTTCGATAAGTTGATTTGTGAATGGTTAGTCACGCAAAAATACCGAAGTTGCATATGGGCTATTTTATATCAAAAATAATCTTACAGAGGAAGTACTAAGTGTTTCGCACGGAAATCTTTGTTGTCGGTATTTTGACTTAAGGAATTCTCGCCATGTCCTTGGACTGGACGCTGTTGCAACAGTAGATGTCCGGTGGTGAGAAAGCGGTGTTTAATGAATGYAATTTGCTATAACTTATGTTTTCTTCGCCTTTATAGTATCACAAAGCGAATAAAGGCGATAACGCACTGATCGGATGATTGATTTTATAGCAGTGCTCGCCTCAGTGAAAGCCTGGGTCGTGACTAGAACGTGCGATAAGGCCGATTTAGACGGTGCAACTTTTGCCTACAATTATCGCATGCAACACACGCAAGTCATTCTTGCAACATGGCTACAACTGTCGTAGGGTTATCAAACAATTGTTTAGCCATGTTGTAAGGATGAATTGCATGTGTTGCATGCGATAGTTATAGGCCAAAGTTGCATGCACCGTCTAAATCGGCCTTTATAAACGTTCCACTTTTCGAACGACCACGCCCTTATTTCTGGTCGGGTTACTGCATGTTCATGGCTGCCCTTGCTTAATAATTCTGAAACTGTCCGCTTTATAGAGGTTCAGAGTATCTACWTCAGAACATTCGAACAAAAATCCCTTCCAAAGAAAACCAGTCATKGTAAGTTTCAGTGTTTCATGGTCATGATCCCATTTTAAAAGATTTAAATCGGTCTGAGAGCACTTACTCATAAAACTTGTTAGGGAATACAGCTTAAATCCGTTTAGCATGTTTGGACCCTAGATAAAAAAACGTCTTCATCACAACAAAACTCACCTTGGCTGAGAAATCGTTTTAAATCTTGTTAGAGAATACAGCTTAAATGCTTGGAAATAGATAAAAACTTCTGATTTTACAAACACGTTTTTGTTTTTAATTCAGATCTTCATCTCAACAAAATTCACCTTGGCCGAGAAATCTCCTGTTCTTAGTTCTCATTGTAAAAGGCAGCGAAACTAAAAGATATYATATCGACAAATCGTAAAATGAGATTTCCAAGCATAGTGCTGCATGTCTTAATTGATGGGTTAATCTCGCTTAGACATCGAAAAAGATGTTCTGCAATATTCTTGCTGAATGGTCATATCACCACTTTTAACTATCAAGAGGTGATTATTAGTCTAAGTCAGCCACTTTGGTGCCAGTCTAAACTAAAGTTAAAAATGAATATGAAAGACCTTGATATATCTTTGTGCATTCATACATGCATTTGCAAGAAGAAATTGAAGCAGGGCAGAGCAACTCAAAAGTGCGGTGAGTCTAATTTGTAATTACAAGATTCATTGGCAGAAAGAGTGCATGCAAACCTAGCAAATTAGACTAGAGCACAGTTCAGTAGTTGCTAAATTGCATCGTTTTCTTTTGATTCACCTGTCAACTACTCAGATTTTGCGTTTCACGGATTTAGGGCGTTGCACTCAACCCGTGAAACAAAAGCTAAATTTTAGCACAACAACCAAAACAAGTTTTGCAACTATAACTAATAGAGTATGTTTGTCTATATACTAGAATTGTCTTCATAATTAATCAATCAAACACATTTTAGCGTACTATATTTACTATATTGAAAATGGGGCTACACCCAGCTCAAATCCCAGCCATTATACCCCACGTGACCAGATACCTATGTTTAACCAACTGCAGACGCATAATTTCAATATTAAATCTTTACGAACAGCAGCAATGCAGACCGATTTTATTATTTGCAATATTCAATGTAAGGCMACGCGATAGGTCGTTCTAGAGCAAGCTAGCTGGTCAGCATTCATGTTCATTAAGCCTTTTGGCCGCAGGGTTTTGTTKATATTAACCTCGAAGGCATTATCCTTGAGGTACGTCTCGTGAATGTGTCTCCGTACTCCCTCGCTTTAGGCTAAAACGCCTTACTGTAATAACAAGGTTATAGCATTTTTGATAATATTTTTTGTGATCAACAGTTTGGTTTACAGCTAATATGGAGGTCGAATAGTGCGAGCTAAAAAGTATATATAGTCTGATAGGTTAGAAGTTAGTTTTAGTTTTTAAAAAGTAAAAATTCGCATAAAACCACATATATACTATCTCGTATTTTAAAAGCATTAATGTTCAATTTGAACTTGGCTTCTTTTATGAAACATTTTTCACCATCTATGCTATCTGATTTACAGTGCGATATCTATCTTTTAGCGTTCTTTTTCACACAGGGTTAGCCTCAAAACCTACTAGAAGTCTTTTCTTTGATTAGAAACTAGTGTAAACGCAATAAGAAAATGAAAATAATTTGCAATCTCACGACTTTTATCTAAATTTCTGCATGTTTTACACTCAATTGAGGCTAACACAGAGAAAAAAGAGAAAAAACGCTGCAATAAGTATTATTACGCTGTTCAGAGTAATAGATGGTATAATCTGCTTGTTCTTAAGGTACTTTTTCACTGCTCGCGTGCACCATTATGCTGTTAATTAACCATATATGATGGCGTCAAAAGATTGTTGCTAAATCAATGAAATATGAATGTTTTAATAGATCCGTTTTATCTCAATGAATATGTCCCTTTCACCTTGAAATATCAGCGTCTGGAGTCGGAATGAAAATGTTCTAGAAAATATGTTGAAGCAGAGACCGCGGTGTAGTAGAGAGACACAGCAATTCCAAATAAGGTTGACAGTTGATTGTCAGAATGTCGAATGGGAAAGAACCTGCTATCCTAAATGCTTCACAATCTAGATTACTATAATACTTTGGGAATAATTCTAAAGATATATTGAAGACATTAAAAGACATTGTTAAAAAGGGTTTGGTCGTGAAACGGACATCAACAATAACAATAACAATTAATAACATCAACAATATCCAATACTTAGTGAGGCTATTTGAAGAAATGTTGGTTGAGGCTGAATGTGATATGAAGAATTGTTGGCCGAGGCTGAGTCTGATATGAAGAATTGTTGGTTGAGGCTGAATGTGATATGAAGAATTGTTGGCCGAGGCTGAGTCTGATATGAAGAATTGTTGATTGGGTCTGAATGTGTATGAAGAATTGTTGGCCGAGGCTGAGTCTGATATGAAGAATTGTTGGTTGGGTCTGAATGTGTTATGAAGAATTGTTGGCCGAGACTGAGTCTGATATGAAGAATTGTTGGTTGAGGCTGGGTGTAATACGAAGAATTGTTGGTTGAGGCTGGGTGTAATACGAAGAATTGTTGGTTGAGGCTGGATGTGATATAAAGAAATGTTTGTTGATGCTCAGTATGATATGAAGAATTGTTTATTGATGCTAAGTGTGATATGAAGAATTGTTGGTTGAGRCTGGRTRTGATATRAAGAAWTGTTKGTTGAKGCTGGGTGTGATATGAAGAAATATTATATATGTCAACTRACGTCAATTAAGACACATCGATAAAAAAACAATAAAACAACGAAACATTTTCCCGCGCAGCTATTATGGCGCTCAACTTGACGTGTGCGCGCAGTCAATTTTTTACGTAAAGCGCGTCCTGTCATTTTCTCATTTTCCCTGCAAATCAAAATCCGGTAAGAAATGATTCAAATTACTGATAATAGAATACTTTTCTTGAAAATCTAAGCCGTAGTAATTCTTAATTCCATCCAGCTTTAACGAAGTGAGACAGAAGTGATTGTCGCGGTCGCCGGTGATGTTATCTTGAGCATGATTAGGTTCAAAAACGTTTGTGAAGTCTTCACTTAAACGAAAACCAGCGCGAATACAGACACTGGTGCCCTAGGGGCTGGAGATAAGTCTTAATTTAAAGTTTAATCTATAAATTAAAAGAAATAGTTTTCAACTAAGTAAGGAAAATCTCTGAAGGTGCGCGTTTGAATGGTTGAAAAACAGTTTTCATGTCGTGAAAAGCGCGCCGCATTGTTTATAACTGTGTAATGTGGTGCATGGTATAGGCTATCTAAATGTTTCTTGCTATCATGATTAGAGTACGTATTGCCATCTATCGGAAAAATGTGCACTGATAACCGATATGACCCATCAATTACTTCGTTCTTCAACTTCGCTGTCGCGCTAAATCCATCAGATTAGGYTGRTGTTCAKTCACAGAACAACATATTCCTTTTATGGTAGATCAGGCATCCCTTGTGTCTTCGACAAGACTGTTCTTTTACAAAATTCAACCTCTTTGGCGTTGCAACTAGTTGATTTGACTTAMGTTTTGCACAGTTATCACTGAGAAAATCCATGTTTTTGGTCAGAAGACTCTAAACATTGGCTCTTTGGACATGCTTACGCGCCCAGAAAGTACCTAATTCGCTAACTCGTCAAAAACGACTCGAGCAAGGCGGTCAATCTTTGGGTGATGTTCATTTTAAAGACGTCAGAGRAACTGGTCATAGCTGAGGCACGCGCCAAGTCTATTTCATTTATCAACAAAACGAAAACCTACTTCAAGTCCAGGTTAGTGTTCACACTATTTTTGGAGATGTATTTGCGCAGAAAAACCTCTGGCCTACAGGGAGCAGTTRTCAAAAATGTCTGACGTTATCTAGAGCTAATAACAGCGAAACATGATKTGGTTCCGATAGCTACAAAGCAATTTGCAACACACTTAAACATAGTTTATGTCACTTGTCCTTAAGTGATGTGGGATTTTATGTTAAATGGACTTAAATTTCCGACCTGACGCTATGCGAAAAGAACTATTTGTCGAAACGTTGAGAAAAGGAATGCATTTACAATAACTTAAGATTTAATACCAAATTTAAAAGTTTTCTTCAATGTAACTTTTTTCGTATTAGAATACTTTCGCTTTGTCTTGATAAATAATATTGCATCGACAAGCAAAATTGAAGAAAACTTGATTAGTGCCTCTTGCAACCGATAAGCTTTCTTCAGGAATTTCTTTTTAGACGCTGAATTCAATTTACAGAACGGCAAAAGTATGAAAGCTTACGTTATCTTTTCGCGTTCAATCTTATTGCGTGCAGAAAAGTTTTTCTAACTTAATGCTTTTAGCCCAGCTTTTCTTGCAAATAGTCCTTCAGCGCAGAGCTACCAGCTACATCATTTTAGCCAGAATAACACGAGGCGGCTGCAATATTTGGCATGCATGTGTCGATATTCCAATATGATTCAGTTAGATATAGAAACATATGTACTCTGCTATCCGGTCTCGACAACGGACTACATCAAAGGCACTTTGGTGTCGGCAAATTACTCAATTAAATTCATGTTGTCGTTTTGTTGTCGAAGATAAGGCTACGGATCTATCAACAGGCGGGCAAGCCTATCTCTTTGTATTACAATCTGGTCTTGTTATGTACAACAGTTCAGTAGGTAGAGACTGTACATGTAACTCCATTCTATGCTTTGATTGGCCCAAATACGTGCGACTATTGAATGCAACTTTCAAATATACTAATGATTTTCAAATATCTAGTTGTGAAGGCCAATTTCCTTGAAATTCTTATGGCCTATTTTGCCTTTTTCAAGCTCAGATTTATTACCGATTATCTAACGSAATTCAACGTTTATTGCTTAGGAGTATTTCAAGGTTCAAAATCAATGTTTTTGGAGGCTTTTGCGATACCATCGTTTATACAAACATACTGTTATCTCGCCGATATAGCCATGCAGACAGTTCACTGACAGAACAGCACTATCATAGTTATCAGTATAGTTTCAGTATCTATTTTCAAGCAATATGACCTTATCTCTCCACATAGGCGTATTCCGGTTGCTCAGAACGGCTCATGAACCAAATGCCATGATTAAAAGACACCTAAAATAAAAAAAAGACCTCTTAATGTSTTTAACTTCATGATCAATGAATGGCTTTTGAGGTCAATTGCGAAAAATGAATGGTTTAAATTATTAAAGACTTAATTGAGCCATCAGATATCTAAACTATTTTAATAGTTCCACACCGAAAAACGCACAGCAGACGTCGAATTCTAAACGTACTACTGCGTACAGAAGCGCTATTTTTTTCACAATTCAAATATCTTATGTTATCTATGACTCTTCACCGCAAAAGCTCACAGTTTTTTAGAGTTAAACTTAAGCCTTTTTATCTTCATCAAGTGGGTTTAACATGCTGGAATGCTAGTCTTGATKATAATTTCTACACTGATTGTAAAAGAATAGTACTCGCGCGTGTACAGTCGGAAATACTTGCACAACGCTTTCATTAATCACCAACACTTTACAAGATTTACGCACAACTTTTTGACCAAGAAATGATTGACATTGTCATCTTTTTTTGTGACGGAAAACAGAAAAGAAGCGAATGAAAGTATGAAATTTTRATGTCTGATCGCGCATGGGTGGTAACCGCAGGAAAGATCGAGAAGTGACCGTGCATAAGATTGTCTAATACCGTTTTGATTGTAATGGTTTTTTACCAAAATCCTCGTTTATCTGATTATAACCATTAATTCTACAAGCTTTTGGTCTCTGGTGTTAATCTGTTGAACACCAACAGCGAATGGAGGGCGGCGGATCTTTCCAAAAWTTTTTCCGTTGCTGTTTGCGCGGGACGAAACCATTCCGRAATTCTTCCGACTTGCAAGCGAATTAGTACCGAAAACTTGGACTAGTGTGCGTCACTATATAATGGTTTATAGTAGTTTGAGACTAGTTTGACAARACTGATTTTTTGYTTTTCTTTTTRCTGCAATTTGGCAGTAGGTTTGTGGCTTATTCATTMGGTAAAAATCAGAGTTGAGGGTTCCCCTACTAAAAATTAGTCATATATTTTGCTTTTTATAAGACCGAAAGAAAAATCATGCGCTTTGTAATTATGCAAAAACAATTATCGGATCGTTCAGAGTGATTACATAATATTATTGTTAAATCAAATCAAATCAATACTTATTAATTAAATAATGATTAATGGGACGTCATTGTGCGACAGGGCAATTTCTTTATCGCAATGAACACATGAAAGTGATTTCGAAGCGCGGAGTAGACCGCTTCTTTTAAAAAGTTTCCCATGGTATTAACAGCTCCGGTCAAGGGTACAGGCGGTGTATCTCTTAACCCTTTATAGATCTTTGTCAGTGTCTGGTCACTTTACATACAATCCCCGTATTTGGCTTAAAAACACTAGTTAGATAAAAACACCTTTAAAAAAAATAGGTGAAAACTTACTGACGTTTCGGACGTTTATCTTTCGTCGGAGTAAAGAGATTTGTGGTGTGTTCATTACTCCGACGAAGTATTAACGTCCGAAACGTCAGTAAGTTGTTTCACCTATTTTTTACGGTGTTAAATTTATCTTTTTACACAACTGTTTCTTTAGAAACACCGACGCAGCTCACACTAGTTTACCGCGCTAGTTCCCACCATATATTGAATTTGACATGTGAAATCAATCGGCGTAAGCGCGAGGTACAGTTATCGCATCTGTTTCCATGGTTTGTTGGATAGTATGCCTTTTTTGTCAAACTTATTCCCACGGAATCTAAAAAGATTCTTTCGTCAATACTAATCATAATTGGTAGATTAGAAATAGTGATAGCAGAGGTTATGGGTTCCAAGGAATATCAGGGGCGGACTCATGACAACCAGGACATCAGCGCATATATAAAACGTTTACTGCGAGGATTTGTGGCTTTGTACCGAGAATCCTCCACATGTGTCGAATTCAATTCTTCATTACCATTCTTATTTGAATATACATCGACACATGATAGAGTCGACGTTTGAAACGACGTATGAAACGGAGCGTTATAGTCTGGTCGTTGACAAAGTATGAACGTGTGAATGTGCCTTCAAAGAAACATCTGCTACAAATGTGTGCTTTCTGTTTTTGATTTTAAACTTTGTTTTTTAGACGTCCCAAATCCCACTGAAGTCGTTTGTCGMAAAGCGCTTTTGCTACATATCAAGTCATACGTTGTATATTATGTTCCGTGTCTGCTTTCGATGCTTAAATCATTTTCATCGAGAAATCTGCGTACCTTTCTAAATTGCGAGYACTTTTCAGACAGTAGTTTCTCTGTGTTTAATTCGATCCATAACTTAGTTCAACAATTAAAGGATACCTGACCTCCTCCCCCATGGGAKTGAGGACAGTCATTTTTGTTTAACTCGCGTCTACAATTCGTTTGCACTATCAAATCAGTACCGCAATGTAGCGACGTTTTTCCATTTTGCCCCCCAGATGAAGGGACTCAGAGCTCGTTTTTGTCTAGCACTCGACTCTTGAAGTGAAATGACTTCTGGCTTAAAACAACTACTCGTGAAAATTCCTGCACATCGTCCACACGGGTTAAGTACCCTACTCGTTCAAGATGTTACCAACAATCACGTTCCATAACTGGTTTTCACTCAAAGCAACAAAGGAGCAAACGCAATGCTCCAGTTTAGAGATCTTATTTGTGCAGTCTTAACCTCAAAAGCATGTAATATATTCTTTTATTCGGCAGAGAATCTATTGTAATGCAAACACTCTGTGTACAAAGAAGACAATAAAAAATTAAGCTTGATTGAAGCTAAGCTTGCACAAATGAGAGAATTCGAAACTRGAGTATTGGGAGTATTTCGTGATAACAACCGGAGTGAGCAAACTAAATATTTATATATTGTTAGAGTAATTATATAGCCACATATTAATCCAAAATAGGTAAAAGCTGGATTTTTTTGTTAATTTTGGAATCCTAATTTTGTTAAAAGCTGTGGTTGGCTTTTACCTATTTGGGATCAATATGTGGCTATATAATTAATAGGTAATAAGACTCCATGCTGTCCAATTAAGAAATAATTAGACTCGAAAAAATTCCTCTGACTGCCAAATTGGACTCGGGCACGGCCTCGTCCAATTTTYGGCAGTCCTCGGAATTTTCCTCGTCCAATTATTTCTTAATTGGACAGCATGGAGTCCTATTACATATAATAATTTACTATGATTTTCAAGAAATCTTGTCGTGGATCATTTAGAGCTTCATTTAGAAAAAAAGCCGGAACCTTGTTACGCCATTTAYCAGTGATTGGAAAAGTGCGTTGTAATTAAGGATTTGCGACAACCGCTGACAAAAATTCGGAACAGGGTTTGGTTATCTATGCATGAGTAACTGATCTAAAATCGTATTTAGTTTAAATAAAATTGAGCTGGATTTGAAAAAAGGTGGGTGGGTAGCGTTTGATTTAATTTCCGATTGTTTTCGACTATCCGCCATCTTGAATTTTCCGCCATTTTGTTTTCGCGACGGCAGACGAGTGATTGATTGATCGAATCTAAAATCGTATTTAGTTTAAATAAAATTGAGCTGGATTTGAAAAAAGGTGGGTGGGTAGCGTTTGATTTAATTTCCGATTGTTTTCGACTATCCGCCATCTTGAATTTTCCGCCATTTTGTTTTCGCGACGGCAGATACAAAATGGCGGGAAACCCCAATCTAGTAGCCAAAGTATGTACTTTGACGTCCTTTCAAATAACAATCCATTCGACTCAA